AAAATTTTGAGGCAGCGTCGTTGGGTGGGGGGGGGGGGGAGCAAAACACTTCCAAATCTGTACAAGGCACAGAGTGTTCTGCTCCCAAAAAGGAAATATTAATTTCAGTGCACATTTTTGGAGTGCCATTAGGATGACACACATAAAGGCATTACCCTTGAATTGCCCTGCTCCCAAGTTAATTCTTTTGCAGTTACAATCTTTTTTCTGTTAAGAGAGAGGTTGCAGGTGGGTTTCCAAGGAGAGGGGAGAGCTGCACATGAAAGAAATGCGTTAAGATAAACCTTCAAAGAGAAAAAGCATGGCTGAAAAATACATACAGGGATGCTGCAGGCACCTAATGCTTTAGTCCAGTAATGTTTTAAGCTGTATTCCCAGGTATTATTGTATTACTGCAACAAGCAGTCCCATTCTCCCCAAACATTTTATGGCTTTTTCCCCTATGCTTTACTACTGTCACTTCTGGGATATGCCTAGTGATTTTCTTTGGCAAATCACTTTTCAGCAGCTCCAGTTCCCCAGTCAAGCACACATGCTTAATGCTACTGATGGGAAAAAAAGCAGCAGGCACAGATGAAGGCAGAAGAGAAAACTGCCACCATACTTCTCAATGGCTGTGCCAAGTTCTGTGGGGCTAAAATGGTTGTGAAACTACAGTGTGTCTGTGACCATGCTTCGAAGCACCAGGGAGTGTTCTAGAAACAGCCCTTGGGCCCATCCCTTTGCTGTCCCAGCTATTACACACAAGAAACCTCCATAATATAGAGGATTAAAGGCGAATACAGGAGCAGACTTTGGTTTATTCTGGATGTTTTGCCTCCTCAATAATGTCTGGTTCCAAGCAGTGCTTTGTGGGCAGCTGCAGTTCAAGCCAGCTCGCTGTGGCCCCTGAAGGCGACAGGTCGCACATGCTCTTCTCCTCTGGCTCCCCTTGCTCATCCTGGCCAAGGTGGGGTATGTCCAGGTTGGACACAAAAGAAGATGCTCACCTGTCTATATGTAGAATAGAAAGGCCTGAATGACATTTATAAGAAGCATGTAGTTGCGCCTCATGAGCTACAGAGGTATTTTTCTGTCCTGTAGATGCCCCACTGTAATTCAACCATATTTTCCTGTGCCTGCACAGCCATTGCTGTTCCTGTGGTGCAGAGGGAGCACTGCCATACTCCTGAGTAGCAGCAGTGAGGAAGTTTTGGAGGTCCTTCTCACAGTTGCCTCAGGAGAAGGCTGATCTCTCCTCACCGTTGCTGGTGTCTGGCTACTGGAGGCGAGGGGATGGCATCAAGCTGCCTCAGGGGGAACTTCAGGTTGGGTATTAGGGAAAAGCTCCTCACAGAGAGGGTGATCCAGCACAGGAATGGGCTCCCCAGGGGAGGGGTCAAGGGCCCGAGCCAGTTGGTGTTCAAAAGTATTTGGAGAGATCTATATATGTGTATGGTTTAATTCTTTGGTTGCCCTGTGTTCAGTGAGGAGCAGGCCTGGATGAACTCTAGTGGGTCCCTTCCCGCTCAGGACAGCCTACATCTCTTTGAGCTTCTACAGCCTCCTCAAACACCTTACTCTTCTTCTACAGAGTGGGAGGAAAAAAGCCCCATAGCTTTGCTATGATCTGCACAAAACAGAAACCCAGTTGTGCAGGGCAGGGCTGCTGGTGCAGGCAGCTCAGGGTGCCACTTCCAACTGCCTTGGGTGACATGGTCTAGTGTGAGGCATCCCTGTCCATGGCAGGGGGTTGGAACTACATGATCTTAAGGTCCTTTCCAACCCAAACCATGATTCCGTGTACCTCATGTCAAAACTGCACCAGGCACCCATCCTGATGCCCTTAACAAACCTTGCTTATGCTTTTAACCCCCACGACAACATGTCTCAAGCTGTCATTGCACACAGTAAACCAGGTTTATTTCCAGCTGGTTTTTTAAACGCTGGTGGGGTCCTGAGCACTCGGGGAGTGGAGCAACCCGGATCAACATGGTATGGGAAATTTAATCTATAACTGTGTGCGTAATGAGCCTGACACCGAACAATAGATATCCTAACTGTGTGCGTACATCCTTGAGGAATAACACTGAACAGTAGACACCCTTGGTGCCTGACGCCGAACAATAGATATCCCTGATAAATGTGGCACACGACCATCCCCGGATGCCTAGTGGCATTGTGTAACAAAGGCACTGAACAAGATAAGAAGATGCGCGACCTTCAGATGTAAAAGTTCAGACCCGAGGAAGACTCGTTTACTTCATCCTAAGAAGACACTGCGCAAGCGCAAAGGACCTTTTAGCTAATTATAATACCAAGCGGGGATAGATCATGAATATGTATGCGTGTAGAGAATAAATGTAGAGAGCAATCGCATTGAGGTGCGCATGCTTCGGGGGGAATGATCCCCCGTGCGCCCAGGGCTGAATAAAGCATACCTACTTTACAACTGTAACGACTTGTGAAGTCATTCCGCACATCAAACACCCACCGCGCTCCGGGACCCTCCTTCTTTTTTTTTGTGGTAACCCCCTCCCCCCCCCCCCCACCCGCCGGCCGGGAGCGCCGGGGCACCATCAACCGGGGGCGGAAGTGTCGTCATAGGAAGGCTGTCTGCCCTCCCACAATTGGGGGAAGGACAGGGTGGAAGATGGCGGCGCCGGAGGAGCGGCTCGTGTCGGACGGGGAAGGCAGTACGCTGAGCTCGGCGCGGCTCTCCCCGCCCACGGTCTCGGAGACTTCCGACTCTTTGGCGCCCATGGAGCTGCCTCCTCAGAGCAACACGCTCATGGGGTTGCCCATCGTGGCGATCGAGAACATCCTCAGCTTCCTGTCCTACGATGAGATAAGCCA